CCATTTTGGAGACAGGCCAGATAAGCCCCAATCCCAGAACTGCTACTGGCTTCCTCTAGCAGCTCCTAGCTGGGTGCAGACCCATGGAATTTGCTTGGACTGCAGCAAGCCCAATGCGTCTGGTCTCAGGCAGGCATGTGAAAGTAATTGAGTACTCTGCCATAAAGCAACTGTTGGCTTTCTGGGATGGATAAACATGATTTGGGACTCTGTCTCCATCAGTTGTCCACTACTAAAACCAGAGGGAATCCCGGAAGTGGACTATTTGTTTTTCTTTTTCATTTTCATTTTGTTGTTGTTGTTTTCTTGTTTGTTTTTTTTTCTCTCTTTCTCTTTCATTGTTTATATGAGTGTGAAAGTGGTTCCTAACTTCTTTATGGGTGTGGTTCTTTTCTGTTCTTCCTTTTATCTCTTCCATCTCTCTTTTCCTTCAGTCTTCTGCACCAGTTTCCCCAAATTAATATGATCCCCCTTTGTCTCTCAATCTTATTTCTAATCTCTTTCTCTTCTTTCACTTCTCTATTTTTCCTTAATCCATTTTAGCAACAAAAAAAAAATGTATTTTAAAGAGGCTAAAACAAAACATAGCAAAGCAGATCAGAAGAAAACATTGCAAGTCACACAGGATTTCAAAGCAAGACAGCAAGAAATCAACATGGCTACCAAAATGTCTCTTGTTTTCTTCAAAATAGTTGCCCATATCTTCACACACAATGAATTCAAACAAAACAAAGTAGTATAAAACTGATAAAAAGAGAAGAGTGAAACTATTACAGGCCTTCAAAACCAGACAATAGAAAAATCAATGGTGGCTACCAGAATGTCTTTTGTTGTCTTCAGAATAGCTGTTCATACCTTCATATATATTGAAATTAAATAATACAAAACAGATTAAAACCACTCTAAACAAAGAATAAAAGCATTACTGGACTTTACAGCCTGATGATAAGAAATCAGCAATGGATACCATAATGTCTCTTTTTCTTCAAAGTAGCTGTTCATTTCATCACATGAAATACAATCAATTCTCATAAACTGTTTAGGAGAAGTTACAGGAATATATAAGCCTTTACATGTGCATCTATCCTTTCTGAATTAGAGGGAAATATAAAACAAAGTAAATTACTAAAAAACAAGAAACAAAAAAGACAAATAAATAACAATAGCAAAGTGCCAAAACAATGACAATATAGGCTTTCAAAACAAGATGGTAGGGTTTTCAAAAATGGCAGCTTGCTAGGGGATTGGGCAGAGAGTCTCTCCAGAGAAATCGTATTAGATGCTAGAATATGACAACATGGAGAGGGCCAGATGAATGGATAATGATTCTTATTAACAAGACAGCATGGCTGGAGGATTTAAAGTTGTGCTGAGACTGTGAAGGCTGATAATGGGAGGCTGCAAATCCCATGCCTTTAATGCAGCAAACTGACCAGTGGACTCAACAGGAAAAGCTGTGTTGGTTTTTGGTGACTGCTGGAAATTGAGACCTGGGGCCCTGCAAAGCAGCCAGGACTGCCTCACTGCACCAGACAAGATTGTGAAAGGCTCTGGAGCTCTGAAGCCAAACGCTGTGCAGTTTTCTGACCATTCTATGCTGTGCCGAGAGCGCAGTGAGGGCAAGCGGCGGGGTATGCAGTAGACTCAAGAGGAGGACCTGCACCAAGCCCTGGTGAGTACTGGGGACAGGGTCCCATGGCTGCTGTGGTTGGCCAGAGAACATCTTGGAACTGGGCAGAGCCCGCCACCACAGTGACATCAATAACACAGAGAGTCTGGCGGAAGACATCTTAGAGTTGGGCAGAACCTGTGACTCGGTGACATCACTGAGTCGCCCCTCGTGTAGAGAGGTCTGGTGGAGGACATCTTGAAATTGGGCAGAGCCTGGCACCGTGTTGGCTTCAGCGTCATACAGAGAACTAGTGGAAGACGTCTTGGAATTGGCAGACTCGCTGTACCGGTGCTCCTGGCACAGAGAGGTCTGGAAGAGAACAGCTGGGATTTAGGCAGAACCCTGTGCCATGGTGACATTAGTCAGCTGCTTCTGGCACAGAGAGAACTGGCAGGATCTGCTGGGGCTGAACCAAGCCTCTGCTTGGGGCCCAATAAGCAGATACAAAATAGTCACAACTCTGTGACATCCAGAAAATACAGCCTAATTTACGGATTGACTGGCACAGAGGCTGGAGGCTAGCCTGCATCATCCCTGCATCTCTGCCTACCCCAGATAACAGCAAATTGGGGAGGACAGCAAAAACTCAAGCCAGCATGCTTCTGAAAGGTCCTAAGCAATACGAAGAGGGCCAGAGACCCCCAGGACACTCCAGTCTGAAAGAAACCAGAAACATGACAAGAGATAAAAATTAAAAAAAAAAATCTCAGCTGCCCAACATGAGAAAATAACCCCAGGAGAAGTAAACACTGAAGAGAACAAGCACAGTAACCATCCAATACTGCACACAGCATCAGCCGAAATTAAAAAATACCTCCATGACCTCATAGATGAATTCAAAGCTATACTCCTGATCCAAGTGAGGCAAGATATAAAGAGATTAATTAAAGAAATGACAAGCCCTGCCCAAGAGAACACACATGGAAGAACTGAGGAAAACAGTAAAGAAAGAGAAACTTCTGAAGGAGAATTTAAACATAACTTAGAATACATGAAACAGATCCAAAGAGATTACCAGGAAACTAAAAACTCCATTGAACACTGGCAAAATACCCTGGCAGAAACTAAAGCCAGCCTTCTGAAACTTGAAGAGAGATTTATGACATATGATCGTGAAAGAAAAAACCTCTTAAAAATAACAAGGAACCAGAAAGAAACAATTCAAAGGCTAGAAGATGACAAAAAGATACATAACTTAAGAATAAAGAATGTGAGTGAGGAAGCAGGAGCAACCAAAGATGAAATACAAAAAATATTCACAGATATATTAAAGCAAAATTTCCCATGTATAGCAAAAAGAAATGATACCCAGATAAAAGAGGCATACAAAACACCAGCTACCTACAACCAAAACAGATCTACGCCTAGACGTATAATAATCAAGATTACAGAAATCCACCAAAAGAACAGAATATTAAAAGCAGCAAGAAAAAAAGAAGCAGATTACCTACAATGGGAAAATTATCAAAATAACAACAGACTTATCAACACAAACTCTTAAGAAGGGAATGGGGAGAAATATTCCAAGTCCTGAAAGAAAATAATATGCAACCAAGACTCATACCCGTCAAAACTCTCTCTCAAAATTAATGAGAGAAATAAGATGCTTCCAAGACAAGGAGGAACTGTGGGAGTTCGTGGCCACCAATCCAACCCAACAGAGAGTGCTGAAAGACATTCCAGAGAAAGAGAGGAAGGAATACCAGGATTCCAGCAACAGTGACAGAGAGGCCTCAATGAATGGGGCAGACAGTGGAATGAGGGAATAAGGTGGACAAATTATAGCAGAAAAGTGGAGTAGCAGACATGAGGCAGAGACGGTAAGCTATAGTCTTTAGTATAGACAGCTCTGAAACACTATTAAAAAGGCAGAGGTCATTGTTAATAGTGTATCAGGATTTAAAAGACACAGTAGTCTTATCGCCATATTTAGTTTGAATTTAATTTGTTCTGGTCTGTCCACTCATGTCAGATTTGAGGGCACAGACATCTGACCTCAAAATAGCAGGTTTTACCATGGTAACTATCCTTACTTTCCTATTAACTTAAACTGAAATCCTGTGTTACTTACATTGTCTTACTATGACTGATCTTAATTGAATCCGATTCATAAGACCATGGGTTTGCCTTGGCTGATTTTATTTGAATTTGGTATGCTTGTTAGTATCAACCCTAAAAGTAGAGGCAACTACTCTGAAGATGACAAGATGTAAAGGATATCCATACTGGTATTAATTATTAACAGCTCTCAAATCCTACAATGCTTTCAAAGCTGTGTTTTTATAAAAATAGGTAATACTGTGTTTAACTATATTAAGCTGATGATGTGGACAAATCTATTGAAAATAACAAGAGAAAACATAGTAACTATGGAAGATCACCTATATTGTAGTCTTATATGTCTTATCCATTGCATGTCTTTCTAGGAATTTGTTTTGCTGTCTTGTTACAACTTGTTTTTCCCTATAATACAGAGAGGATAGATATATATGTAGAAATTCACACATGAGTTTTTAAAAAAAATTTATGGGAACAGATTATATAATGCAAGATGTAATGAATAGATACTCTGAAGAAGAGACACTAAGAAACCCAATGCTAATTTTGTAGCATTATGATATAAATTCTAGCAATACTATTATTCACTGATCAGAATGGTATTAGTCTAGTCTCTTAAGTTCAATTTCAGCATATGTAAAGATGGGGACGGCTACCATGGAAAGAATGAGAGATGTGATGGTAGTTATTATTGTCTTCCCCAATGTTAGATCTTGAAGACCTAAAAAGCCTTCATCATCCTGTAATGATTTGATTAGTTCTATAATATGCAATATGTATATAATGTGGGTGAAGATGGGGACAACTATTTGTAAGAAACTAGAGACAGTTAGATAGACAGTGAAGATCTCCAGTGGACTTGCTTTGAAATCTGTATTTCTTTAAATTGTTTTTTAACTGTTTTGATATGTTTAATCTTACCCTCTTTGAGATGTAAAACAAGTGTGTAGGACTGATAACCATATTATTGAGTTTTTGTTCAATCATTGAGCAGAACTGTTTGCAATGTCCCTTTTTGAATGTCATTTTATATACTTTAATTTTGTAACCTGAAAAGCTATTTCTAAGATGACAATATGTAACTTATCAACCAGCGATTTCTTACTGTTTATTTTTCTGTAATTTTGTATTATTTCTACCCTTTTTTATCTCCATGTATTTTTTTCCTTTTCTTTAAATAAAAAAAACAAGATGGTAGGAACATACTAAGGTTATTATTTTACATAGTAATTGTCTTAATTATATTTTACTCATCGCTGAGACAAAATACCTGATGTCCAAAGTTGGGAAAGGAAAGGTTTATTTCTTATAGTTTTTGGAGGCTTTAATCCATACTCAGTTGGCTCCAAGGCAGGGTGGCATGGCAGGGCCACAGTTCATGGCAGCTGCAAACAGGAAGGTCGAAATCAGCAAGAGAGCAAGACACACCTTCTTCCTGCCATTACATCACATCCTGGCTCCATCCTTATGTGGGTGTAGCACTGACACCATCAATCCAAGCTCTAGACAATAAACCAATCACAAATACATAATACAAACACATGAGGCCTACAGGCCACTGACATAAACCAAGACATTCCATCCCTGGCCCCCAGGACTCATATACATCTTATATACAAAAGACATTTAGTCTGTCTCCAAGAACTGCTAAAGTCCTAACAGTTTCAGCACTGCTGAGAAGTCCAAGTCCCAAGTCTCCTCCCATATCTATGGCAAACTCTTAAATGTAACCCCCCTGTACAAATGAAACAAGGTTAAACATTTCTGAAATGCAAAGGCACAAGATAAACATTACCATTCCATAAGTTAAAAATAGGGGAATATAAATTATTGGAAACAAAGCAAGTCCAACATCCAGCAGGACAAACATTAAGTCCTAGAGTTTCATACTCAGCATCTGAAGCAATCTGGTTGCAAGCTCCAAAAGGCTTGGGTGACTCCAACCCCAGGGCACTTCCAGGAATTTCAGCTCCCATAGCAACTTCTCTCTTAAACCCTCTCTGCTCACTTTTTGCAGCTTTCCTTGGATGATCAATGTTCCTGGTTTTTCCAAACTTCTGAGGTCTCCACTGCACCTTTGGCTTCACCCTTACATATTTACAAATTGCCCTCTCGAGGGCACACTGCTTGGCCTCCCAGGCCCTTTGCAGTTAAGGTGGAAGCCATCTTACCCTCAGAATTTTTGCATTTTTCTTGTGCCTAAAATCAGCACCATGTGGACACTGCCAAGGTTTGCTGCCAGGGGGAGCAATAGCCAGGCTTTTTTTCTCTGTTAGCCGTAGGGGTCAGTTGCCTGGATTGCTGGGCTCTGTTTACCTGATTATGAGAAAAAGCTTTTCTATGTTGTCACTATTCTGGAACCTCATATAGCCTCCATTGCCATTCTGGATCATAGTGCTCTGTAGCTTTCTCCTCTGAGCAAATTCTTTCACTTTTGCAGTTTTGAGACTGTAAAGGGTGGAGACCCATGCTTCCTGGGATGCCCCATAGCCATCTTTCTTATCTCTCTGTTGCTTCTCAACAATCAAAGTCTCAGTTCTATCTTTACAGCCCATAGCTTTACTGGAGTTTTCCTCCTGGCCAAACTCATAGCATTTTAAATTATCCTGCTGGGCTCTTTGCTCTTGATTTGCAATATATATATATATATATATATATATATATATATATATATATATATATATATGGCTAAAAGCCCCCAACAATAGCCATGCCATAGCATCAACATTTGACTGCCTTGAAATTTCTTTTGCCAGGTTAATCAGTCCCTTGCCCTTAATCTCAATCTCAGGCAAAGTCTCTGGATATGAGCAAAATGCAGACAAACTTTCTGCCAAGCCATAACACACATTGTGGGGAGTCCAACAACCAATGCAGTACTTCCCAGCAAAAACCTCCCAAGCCTAGTCTTTACCATCAGGCTTTCTATCAGCCTTCTAGTCTCTGGAGCTCTGACCAGAATCTCCTCTACAGTACAGCCTAAGTTGCCCCAGGTCTATGCATCCAGGCAACATGTCTGAACCTTTCCAAACTTTGCCCACAAGCCATTTCTAAAGCCTCTCGAAATGACCCCACACCTGTGTACCAAATTCTGTTTTAGTTACTTTTTACTGGTCGCTGAGACAAAATACCTGGTGCCCAAAGTTGGGAAAGGAAAAGTTTATTTCTTATAGGTTTTAGAGGTGTCAGTCCATACTCAGTTGGTTCCAAGGCAGGGTGGCATGGCAGGGCCACAGTTCATGGCAGCTGCAAACAGGAAGGCAGAAACTGGCAAGGGAGCAAGACATACCTTCTTCCTGCCATTACATTACATTCTGGCTTCACCCCTATGTGGGTGTAGCACTGACACCATCAATTCAAGCTCTAGACAATGAACCAATCACAAACGCATAATGCAAACGCATGAGGCCTGGAGGCCACCGACACAAACCATGAAAGTAATCTTCAAAAGATTTCCTCAGATTACCAGATATAAACATGCAAAATTGATCCAATTCTATGGATATTAACTGTTTTGTTTGAAGAACTAATGGAGTTAATAGCACAATCATCTTAGCTATCTTAAGTGTGTATTTACAAATTTATATATTTTTTCATTTTGCTTCCTTTTCTTCTTTTCCCTGAGTTATTTTTCCTCTTTGAGCAGATTCTCGCCCTTTCACAGTATTTATTGGTGATTTTGTATCTTATTTACTCTTACCATTTCTTACACTTGGGAGACAAACGGTTTACACGTGTGAGTTTGACTTATTTCACTTATGAGTATGGTCTCAAGTAGCATCCATTTACCTATAAAAGCCTCAAAGTGATCTTTCTTTTATAGCTGAGTAGTACTGCATTGTATAAAAGTACCACATCTTTTTTATCCATTCCTCTGTTGATGGGCATTTAGGTTGTTTCCAAGACCTCAGTATTACAAATTGTGCTGCTATAAACATGGGTGCACATATATCACTGTGCTTCATGTTTTTAGTTCTTCTGGGAATATGCCCAAAAGTGGAATAGCTTAGATCAAATGGGACTTCCAATCCTAAATTTTTGAGGAATTTCCACACTGATTACCACAGTGGCTTCACCAGCGCACACTCCCACCAACAATGCAGAAGAGTTCCTTTTTGTTCATAGCCTCTCCAGTATTTGTTGTTGGTAGTTTTCTTTATCCTGGGCATTCTTTCTGGAGTGAGATGGCATCTCAATGTAATTTTAATTTACATTTCTGTAATGACCACTAATGCTGAACATTTCTTCTTGTATTTATTTGCTATTTTTATTTCTTCATCTGAGAAGTGTATATTCATTCTCAGATGCCCATTTTTGGATTGGGCCTTTTAATTTCAAGGGTCTGATTTTTTAAATTCTTTATATGTTCTAGACAGAAGTGCTTTGTCTGAGGATAGTTGACTAAGATTTTCTTCAAAATTCATGGGTTTTCTTTTCACTCTATTGGAGATTTCCTTTGACATTCAAAAACTTTTTAATAAGACAAGATCTCAGTTATTGATTCTGGGAAGTATTTCCTATTCAGGTTGATTGTTGTTCATGAGTTCTCTGCCAACCTGTATGTCTTCAACATTTCTACCTAACTTGTCTTCCAGCAGATTTAGTGTTTCAGTTTTAATATTTAGATCTTTGATCCATTTTTACTTTAGTTTAGTGCATGGTAATAGGCAGGGATCTAGTTTTAGTCAGCAGGTGGAGAGCCACTTTTTCTAGCACCACTTATTAAAGAAGCTATCTTGCTTCCAGTGAATGTGTTTGTCTCCTTTATCAAAGATAAGGCGGTTGAGTGTGTTTGTGTTTGTAGTTGTAGTTGTATCTTTTAATCTATTCCATTGATCTTCAGGTCTGTTTTTATTCCTGTAGTATGCTGGTTTTATCACAGTAGCTTTGTAGTATAACTTCAAGTCAGGAATTGTGATGCCTCCTGCCTTGCCTTTGTTGCTCAGAACTGCCTTTGCTGTTCTAGGTCTCTTCTGGTTACAGATGAATTTTAGGAGTGATTTCTCTAGATCTATGAGGTATGCTAGTGGTATTTTGATTGGGATTGCATTAAATCTGTATAACAATCTTGGGAGGATGGCCATTTTCACTGTTTGGTCTTCCTACCCATGAACAAGGAATGTTTTTCCATTTTCTGAGGTCCTCTTCAATTTCTCTTTTCAGGCTATTATAATTTTCACTGAATAGATCTATTTTCTATTGTTAGATTGATTCCTAAGTATTTCAATTTTTTTGGATGCTATTGTGAATGGTGTGGCTTCTCTGATTTCTTTCTCAGTGCGTTTGTTGTTTGAGCACAAGAATGCTATTAATTTTTGAGTATTGACTTTGTATCCAGCTACATTACTAAATTTTGTTATTATATCTAGAAATCTTTCAATGGAATTTTGGGAATCCTCTATGTATAATATCATGTCATCTGCAAATAATCATAATTTAACTTCTTTTCCTATCCTTTCCACATGTTATTTCTCTCTTGTCTAATTGCTCTCTACTGTGTTGAATAGGAGTGGTGGTAGTGTCTTGTTCCTGATTTTAGAGTAAAGTTTTCAGTTTTTGACCATTTAACATGATGCTGGCTGTTGGTTTGTCATAAGTAACTTTTATCATATTGAGGGAAAGATACCTATTCCAATTTTCTGTAGGGTTGTTTTCATGAATATGTGTTGGATCTTATCAAAAGCTTTTTCTCCATCTATTGTAATGATCATGTGATTCTTACTTTTGGCTCCCTTTATATGGTGAATTACATTTATGGATTTCTGCACATTGAACCATTCCTGTATTCCTAGGATGAATTCCACTTGGTCACTGTGTAAAATGTTCTCAATGATTTGCTTCATTCTGTTTGCCATATTTTATTGAGGATTTTTGCATCTATGTTCATTAGGGAGATTGGTCTGTAGTTCTCTTTTTTGGTTGGATCTTTCTCTGGTTTTGGTATTAGGATAATATTTGCTTCCAGGAATGAGTTAGAGAGAATTGCTTCCTTTCAATTTCATTGAAGAGTTTGAGGAGTGCTGGCATTAAGTCTTCCTTGAATTTCTTGTAGAATTCAGCAGTGAATCAATCAAGATCTGGGCTTTTGTTATTGTTGTTGATAAGATTTTAATTATATTTTCAGTTTTATTAATTGAAATTGGGTTATTCAGCAGTTTTACATCTTATTAATCTAGCTTTGGTAATTCACATGTTTCTAAGAATCTGTTCATTTCTTCTCTGTTATCAAACCAAGAGAGTAGAGGCTTTCAAAGTAGGTATTGATAATCATTATTTCCAAAGGGTCTGTAGTGATTTTGTCCTTTTCATCCTTTATTGCATGAATTTGAGTTTTTTCTTTCATTTTTTAATAAGGTTGGCTAGGGGCTTATCAATTTTATTTATTCTTTCAAAGAACAAACTCTTTGATTCATTAATTCTTTGTATTGTTTTCTTAGTCTCTACAGCATTAACATCTGCAGAGATTTTTATAATTTCCTCCCTACTTTTGGCTTTGGGCTTGACTTGTTCTTTTTCTAGATGTTTAAGACACAGCATCAGGTTGTTCATTTGTGTTTGTTCTGTTTTCCTGATGTGGTAATTCACTGCAATAAATTTTCTTTTGAGGACCGCTTTCATTGTTCTGGTAAGTTGTGTTTGTATTTTCATTTACTTGTAGATATTGCTTCATTTCTTTTTTAATTTCCTCTGTGACCCAGTGATTGTTAAGAAGTGTATTATTTAATTTCCATGCATTTGTGGAGTTTTTGCTGTTTCTTTTGTCATTAATTTCTAGTTTCATTGCACTATGATCAGATAACATGCATGGGATAATTTTGATTCTTTTGCAGTTACTTACGCATGTTCTATTGGCTAGTACACAGACTGTTTTGGAGAACGTCCCATGTGCAGCTGAGAAGAATGTATATTCTGATGTTGTTGGATGGAACTCTCTGAAACATCTACTAAGTCTA